AATTTTTCTGTTTGATTGCTTGTTTGTTTTTGAGACAGAGTTTCACTCTTGTTGTCCAGGCTGGAGAGCAATGGTACAATCTCAGCTCACCGCAACCTCCACCTTCCGGGTTCAAGCAATTCTCCTGCCTCAGCCTCCTGGGTAGCTGGGATTACAGGCGTGCACCACCATGCCTGGCTAATTTTGTATTTTTAGTAGAGATGGGGTTTCTCCATGTTGGTCAAGCTGGTCTTGAACTCCCACCCTCAGGTGATCCACCCGCCTCGGCCTACCAGAGTGCTGGGATTACAGGCATGAGCCACTGCACCTGGCCAGGAGAACTTTTAAATTTCCATCTTGATTTTGTTTTTGACACACTGCTCATTCAGGAGCAGGTTATTTAATTTCCATATATTTGCATGGTTTTGAAGGTTCCTTTTGGAGTTGATTTCGTTTTATTCCATTGTGGTCTGAGAGAGTGCTTTGATAGAATTTTAAATTTTTAAAATTTATTGAGGCTCATTTTGTGATTTATCATATGGCCTATATTGCAGGAAGTTCCATGCACTGTTGAATAGAATGTGTATTCTGTGGTTGTTGGATGAAATGTTCTGTATATATCTGTTAAGTCCATTTGTTCCAAGGTATGGTTTAAATCTATTATTTCTTTGTTGTCTTTCTGTCTTGATGACCTGTCTAGTGTTGTCAGTGGAGTATTAAAGTCCCCCGCTATTATTGTGATGCTGTCTATCTCATTTCTTAGGTCTGTTAATAGTTGTTTTATAAATTTGGGAGCTCCAGTGTTAGGTGCATATATGTTTGGGATTGTGATATTTTCCTATTGGACAAGGCCTTTTACCATTATATAATGTCCGTCTTTGTCTCTTTTAACTGCTGTTGCCTTGAAGTTTGTTTTGTCTGGTATAAGAATAGCTACCCCTGCTTGCTTTTGGAGTTCATTTGCGTGAAATGCGTTTTTCCACCTCTTTACTTATGTCAGTCCTTCTGTGTTTGGTGAGTCTCCTTAAAGCAGCAGATAGTTGGTTGGTGAGTTCTTATCCATACTACAGTTCTCTATCTTTAAGTGGAGCATTTAGACCATTTACATTCAATGTTAGTATCGAGATGTGAGGTACCATTCCACTCATTGTACTATTTGTTGCCTGTGTACTTTGGTTTTTTTGGTTTTTGCTTTGCTTTTTAAATTGTATTTTTGTTTTATAGGTCCTGTGTGATTTATGCTTTAAAAATGTTCTGTTTTGATATGTTTCTAGGATTGTTTCAATATTTAAAGCACCTTTTAGCCATTATTTTAGTGGTGGCTTGGTATTGGCAAATTCTCTCAGCATTTGTTTATCTGAAAAAGACTGTATCTTTCCTTCATATATGATGCTTAGTTTTGCTGGATACAAAATTCTTGGCTGATAATTGTTTTGTTTGAGGAGGCTGAAGATAAGGCTCCAATCCCTTCTACCCTGTAAGGTTTCTGCTGATTCAATCTCTGTTAATCTGACAGGTTTTCCTTTGTAGGTTACCTGATACTTTTGTCTCACAGCTCTTAAGATTCCTTCCTTCATCTTAACTTTAGATAATGTGATGACAGTGTGCCTAGGCGATGATCTTTTTGCAATAAATTTCCCAGGTGTTCTTTGTACTTCTTGTATTTGGATGTGTGGGTCTCTAGCAAGGCCAGGGAAGCTTTCCTTGATTATTCCCCCCAATATGTTTTCCAAACTTTTAGATTTCTCTTCTTCCTCAGGAACACCAATTATTCTTAGATTTGGTTGTTTAACATAATCCTAGACTTCTTGGAGGCTTTGTTCATATTTTCTTATCTTTTTTCTTTGTCTTTGTTGTGTTAGGTTAATTTGAAGACCTTGTCTTCAAGCTCTGAATTTCTTTTTTCTACTTGTTCAGTTTTATTGCTGAGACTTTCCAGAGCATTTTGCATTTCTATAAGTGTATCCAGTGTTTCCTGAATTTGTTATTGCTTTTTCTTTAAGTTATTTATTTCCTTGAATATTTCTCCCTTCACTTCTTGTATCGTTTTTTGGATTTCCTTGCATTGGGCTTTGCCTTTCTCTGGTGCGTCCCTGATTAGCTTAATAACTAACCTCCTGAATTCTTTTTCAGGTAAATCAGGGATTTATTGGTTTGGATCCATTGCTGAGGAACTAGTGTAATTTTTTGGTGGTGTTAAAGAGCCTTGTTTTGTCATATTACCAAAGTTAGTTTTCTGGTTCCTTCTCATTTGGGTAGGCTCTGTCAGAGGGAAGGTCTAAGGCTGAAGGCTGTTGTTCAGATTCTTTTGTCCCATAGGGTGTTCTTTTGATGTAGTACTCTCCCCCTTTTCCTATGGATGTGGCTTCCTGTGAGCTGAACCGCAGTGGTTGTTGTCTCTCTTCTGTGTCTAGCCACCCAGCAAGTCTACCCAGCTCCAGAGTTTGTCTGCGCAGAGTCGTGTGATGTGAACTGTCTGTGGTTCTCTCAGCTGTGGATACCAGCAGCTGTTCTAGTGGAGGTGGCAGCAGGTGAAATGGTCTCTGTGAGAGTTCTTAGCTTTGGTGGTTTAATTGTCTGTTTTTGTGCTGGTTGGCCTCTTGCTGGGAGGTGGCACATTCCAGAAAGCATGAGCTGTAGTAGTATAGAAAGGAACTGATGGTGGGTGGGGCCCTAGATCTTCCAAGAGCATATGCCCTTTGTCTTCGTTTACCAGGGTGGGTAGGGAAGGCCCATCAGGTGGGGGCAGGGCTAGGTGTGTCTGAGCTCAGACTCTCCTTGGGTGGGTCTTGCTACAGCTGCTGTGAGGGATGGGAGTGAAGTTCCCAGGTCAATGGAGTTGTGTACCTACGAGGATTATGGCCGCCTCTGCTGAGTTATGCAGGTTGTCAGGGAAGTCAGGGAAAGCCGGCAGTCACAGGCCTTACCCAGCTCCCAAGCAATCTGAAGGGCCTGTCTTTCTCCCACCATGCATCCGCCTTAACAACACTAAATCTGTTTCCAAACAGTGGGCGAGCAGGGCTTGAGAACTTGCCCTGGGCTACCCTCCTCCCAGCTGTGAAAGAAAAGGGCTTTGGTTCTTCCCTTGCCTGTGGAGTCTGCACACCAGATTCACACCCTCCTTTGAGTTCTGGCCAGGAGGCTTCTTGCCTGGTTCAAATTGTTACAGAGTTCAGCTGGAGACTTCCTTCTCCTTGTGGCATTTTCCACGCACCTCTGGCTGCCATCCCAAAGGATCCCTGTGGTGCCAGGCAGGAATGGCCTGCCTGGGGACCCAGCGAGGTCCCAGGGCCTTTCCCACCGCTTTCTCTACCCCTGTATTTCCCTCAGCTCTCTAAATTTACTCCGCTCCAGATAAGGTCAGAAATTTCTCCCACAAACTCGACCTTCAGTTTCCCCAGTGGGTGTATGTTTTTGGGAGAGGAGGATCTCCCTTTCCCACTTCTGCAATTTGAGAACTCACAGCATTTGGAGTGTCTCCCGGGTCCAGCAGGAGCAGTCCGCTTCCTTCAGAGGGTCTGTGGATCCTTTTGGGATTCCTGATTTGTTCTTGAAGTTGTTCTGGAGGTAAAATTCATGATGTGAGCCTACTCATGCTGCTCTGTCTGTCAAAGTCGGAGCTGCAATTTAGTTCTGCCTCCCGTCAGCCATGATGATCTCTCTCCCAATCTCTGTTCATTCTTAATTGTATTTTAAGTTAGGATTTGATCTGCAAAAGATTGGGGCTGGGGGAGACCTGTTCTTTTGCTACAGGTAGTGTGAGAAGCTCTGCTCCACATACTGTGGCTGTTTTTCAGCATCCTTTTCCACTGCTTTTCCTCTGGTTTACTTCACTCTATACTCCTTGCTTTTCCTCAAGAATGTTAGGCAGGCTCTCACATCAGGTCCTTTGAACTTGATTTTCCTCTTTTTCCGAAATACTGTTCTCTCAGACAGGAACATAGCTCCATTTGTCTTTTCCTTTTCAGTTTGCTGATATTTATTATCTACCACCCACTCTTCCTTTTATGCTTACTGGGCCCCTCAGACCAATGGGATGAGAGTGAGCACCCTTGTCTTATTCTTGGCTTTTTGTGGTATTTCTCAGGTTCTGGTACTATGTATATACATTTTTTATACTTTTTTTTATAAATGCTCTTTTTTATGTTAATGAATGTTTGCTTTTTTCTTAGTTTACTAAAAATTGTTTTCAGTCATAAGTGTTGAATGCTTTTTCTGCATACATAGTGATAATCATACTTTTTTCCATTTTAACATTTTGATGGGATATAGTAATAGATTTTTCTAATGGAATCTTTTATCACCAAAACAGATATACAAACATAAAAATAAATAAGAAAAAGAAGATACAGTGTTTTGAACAACTCATTCAGAAGATTCTTCCTGATTTAGATGTCATCTTTTATCCTAAACTATGTGTATTTATTCATTTTTTTTTCAATTAATTACAGCAATAGAGCTATTATATTAAAGCTTCTCAGTTTAGAAGTACTGTTTTTTAGGCCAGGTGCAGTGGCTCATGCCTGTAATCTCAGCAACTTGGGAAGCCAATGTGGGCGGATCACTTGAGGCCATGAGTTTGAGACCAGCCTGGCCAATATAGCAAAACCCTACCTCTAGTAAAAATACAAAAATTAGCCTGGCGTGGTGGCACACATGCCTGTAATCCCAGCTACTTGGGAGGCTGAGGCAAGAGAATCTGTTGAACCCAGGAGGCAGAGGTTACAGAGAGCCCAAATCATACCCCTGCATTCCAGCCTGGGTGACTAAACAAGACTGTCTCAAAAAAAAAAAAAAAAAAAAATACTGTTGTTTGCACTGGTTTATTTTCTTTGGGTACCTACTGTTAACTTTATATTTGTCTAGATAAACTTAAAAATAGATAGGTTTAATGAGTTTATGTTTCAGTTATTAAGCTTGTGGTAGAATTAACCCACAGTGTGATCAGTGTCTGTTTCTCTTTGAATAAGAAATTTGCCATTGAAATTCCTTTGTGAATAGCTAATGATTTCTTTTGTCTTAGGTGTTTATTATAAACTCATCAAATATATTTCTTCTTGAACCTGCAAATGAAATTAAAAATCTTCTGGATGAGCACACAGATATGTGTAAACGCATTCTTAACATTTATCGGTACATGGTTGTACAAGTATCAATGGACAAAAAGACTTGGTAAAAAAATTTTTTATCCTTTGTGTCTATGTGTTTTTTATTGTGTACACAGGTATAGTAATTTTTAGAGAAATAGTGTCTGTGAAGAGGGCTTGTTTAGAATATTATAAGGGCTGCTATTATTGAATAAATATAAAATTAATCATAGTGACAATAGTTCCTTTCACCTTATCTGAAACATCTTTGTTCAGACTTCCACAAGACCCCTTGGACTATCTTCCTGAAGTGAGCATATAATGGCCTCATCCTCCTCAACCCCTAAGGAATGAATACATGCATACAAACGTATATGAGTAAATGAAGTTTACTTGTATGTGAATGAGTTAATGAATAAGTTGATGATTGACTGAATGCCTGAATCCTTCATCTGGCATTCAGAGCTGTATACCGTCAGGCCCTGCCTACTTTTCCTGTCTGAAGTCTAACCTCCAACTTTCAGGATAAGATCCTGCTTTCCAGCTTTATCAAGTTTCTCTTCCCTGGGCACCTTCTGAACTTTCCTTTAGAATGCCTAATTCTGCTATTTTTCCTATTGTCACCATAACTGTCCCTTAGATTCACCTTCCTGTTTCTATATATCCTTACTTAAATTTTTTTCTTCTCTTGTTTCCATTTTATATTTGTACTTCTGTATAGTTCTTATGAAAACTTTCTTGATCCCTAAAATACTTGTGTAAATGTCTGTTTATCACCATAGAACCGAGAACCCCTAGAAGGTATTTACAGGTTGTCTTATTTTTATATTTCCTACATTTCTGAGTATAGTACATTATATATCATTGGTGCTCTATAAATACTTTTCTAATTGATTGGAAAAATAGACCTTTTGGGGATATGCAGTTCTGCAGTTTTTGTAAAAATGAAATGTTTATCATAAAATTCAAACAAAGAAAAGTTTAAAATAAGAAAAAAGCTCAGAGGTTCACTCTCTAGAGATGTTAGTGATGTTTGTGCTTTGGTGAATATCTAGCTCATCAAACCACACACACAGTTATATAGTATTATACCATATATATATGCCATAATTTTCTTAACCAGTCCTCTACTGATGGGCATGTAGTTATTTCTCTTTGTTTTGGGGCAAAGAGAGGACAATGAACATTCTTATATATATTTCATTTTCCTCTACAGTGACAAAACATAAATTAGGCATATGCTTTGAGTAAGTATTCCTAATTTTTTTAAGAAATAAGACTGATTAGTCAAAGCATATGCCTAATTTATGTATAAAATGGCTTTATATTTTGAAAAGATTCTTTACTAACAGTATTAATAGAATTGCATGTAGAAGTAGTTATTATTGTTAACACATTTGGGACAATTATTTGTGCCACGTACCTTTCTAAGCACTTTACACATATTTTCTTACTTAATTCTTACAGCACCCTATGATACAGATAATACTGGGAAGTTAAGTAACTTGTCCTTGTTCACACAGCTATTGAGCAGTGAACAGAGATTTGAACTATAGTTTTTCTGACTTCAGAGCCCAAGTTATTATTAGCCAGTAACTATACTACATTGGACAATTCTTTTGTTAGTCCTTTTTTTTCTTTCTGTATACTTTGAATCATTGATGAGCCAGATTATAGTGACTACCTTGCTATATAGAAAACAATTTTAGAATTTTTGTTAATTTTTTAACTTCCCTTGAAGTAATAGCATTTTGGGAGGTTTTTCATATATTTTACATTGAATTTTTAGATTGAGAGAGACGGTTTCGCTATGTTGCCCAGGCTGTTCTTGAGCTCCTGAGCTGAAGTGATCTACCTGCCTTGAGGTCCTAAAGTGCTGGGATTACAGGTGTGAGCTACCACACCTGGCCAGAATTTGTAAAACTTTATTAATTAAAATCATTTTTATCATATTACAAAGTGAAAAGATTGTATGATTTATGAGTGAGTTATGGTTTGACAACAAATAAGATTTATTTGGAAAATCTATGCTTTATTGCATTTGTAGTTGATTTCAAATAGCTTTTTATTTCGTGTAGCTAAGCTGGAAGCATAAGGTTACAAATGTGGCACCTTTGATTTTTATTCTGTGAATAAATACATACATTTATTTGCTAATATGTCCAGGATATTTTTAATGTAGTGATAGTTTTCTGTTTGATTCTACTCTGACTTCTCAGAAGAACCATGACATCTAGATCTAGGATCTGTTGCTACCCCTTCCACATTTCTCACAGTAACTGTTCCATGTATCACGATGCCTGGAATGGACTTGCAAAATAACCAGAGGGGAGGAGGCTGTGATAGAGAATTGGGCTGATATACCCAACTGAAAGTCCCTTGTTAACCTCTTTTTTATATGTGGTTGAATCAAGTTTTGAAATATCAGTGTAAATAAGGTAGTTTTATGGTTTTAATAATAAGCATCTAAGAGAAAGAGACAAGGTAAGGATAATAATAGAATTGGTTCAACTTGCAGTACAGACAAAAAATTAAAGATTAAAAAATGGCATAATGAAAAGAGTGGAAAGAAACAATAGAGTAATGGCCCTTGATTAATTATCAAGCTCACTGCAGACTCAAACTCCTAGGCTCAAGTGATCCCCCCACCTCAGCCTCCTGAGTAGCTGAGACTATAGGCATATGCCACCACACCCAGCTAATTTTTGTTTTTTTTTTAAGAAACAGGTCTTGCTATGTTGCCCAGTCTTCTTTGTGATCTATTAATTAAGATGTCATCTAATTTCTGAAATTGAGATTGGTATGATTCTGAATATGTAGTTATTCTCCATATTATAAAGATGGATTTGATTGGATTCCATCTGGGTAGAACTATATTGTGTAGATGAGTGTTCTTCAGATAGCTCCTTAAGATTGCTACTTGATTTGTGGTTGGGGAGACTGGAGCATTCTCCACATTATCACTTCCGAATCCTCAGCTTTTGAATAGGTTTTTATTTGATGAGAGGATATTGTGGCTGATAAATGATTTTAAATGATTGATGTTGATGTATAAAATGGAATTTTAATTTTTAATATTTAAGGAACTCCAAAAATTTGAAATTGTCTTTCAAAGATGTTTGATATTTGAGTTTTTATAAGAAGTATATATCTGAAAGTTAACTGTTAACCAAATGCAAACATATGCAAGAAGGAAACATTAATCAATCTTTATTTTAAGGGAACAGATGCTGCTTGTGTTGCTCAGAGTCACGGAGTCTGTACTGAAGATGCCATCACAAGCTTTTCTACAGTTCCAAGGGAAAAAAAATATGACCTTGGCAGGTCGACTTGCAGGACCACTTTTCCAGGCAATAAAAATAAATAAATAGATGAATAACTGGATAGATAGGGTTTTTTGTTTTGTTTTGTTTTGTTGTTGTTGTTGTTGTTGTTGTTTGTGTGTCTTTTGAGATTCATTGAACCCTGAACTTGTTACCAGGAAAAAAAGTTTTAAATTAGAGATTATTTCTTATTTATTAAGGGATCTTTTGTAGAGCTAACTTAAAAGTTGCTTATCTAAATAAGCTATTTGCCCTACATACAACCTAGTATGAGTGGAGGTAATATCGGATCTGTGAACAAGCAGGCTAATGATATTTATTTTATCTCTTGTGTGGTATACATAATGTGTGGTTGCAAAAACCTAGCAGTGTTTTAGGGATAATGACCTGACTGCTTTATGAGTTTCCATATCTCTGGGACTACTAGGAAAAACTGTCTTTTTATGTTATTCTGTAATAATGAAAAAACAATAAATAATTAAGATTGATTCTTATCATGCTTTCTTTTAATAAGACTTTATTATCCTCCCTTCTCAATTGGTGGTAGTTTGATTACACAGAAATTCTATATTGTTTTTTAAATATGAGGATAGAGTGTTGACTTGAAATGTATTATGGATTCTTTGAAAAATAGAAAACAAAATATTGTTTTTGAAGATGATACATGAAATACAAATACATGATTCTTAATGTCAAAGGTAAAAGCTGTCTCAGATCTAATTCTTGGCCATGAGTGTAGCCATTTAAATTGGTTGGAGTTTTTTTTTCATATATTAGCCATTTACCTAAAATTACATGCTGGTGTTGAACAGTCCTTTAAAACCAGCTACATGTATCATCTAAACTCCTCTTAACTTCATTAACCATTTTTTTTTTTTTCATTCAAGTTTACCCATTGTTAGAGCTAACCTGATGGTGGGAGCTACAGGAAGATAAAATTTTATCTTGCTATGTGAAACAACTTTTTTTTGTAGTCTGCGTATTAAAGTAGTCTTTTATTTTTTTTGGTAGTCTTTTTTTTTTGCAGTCTGAGCATTAAATTAAAGATAGATTGGGAGGTCACTAGTTACTACAGGTCTGTACTTAAACTCTGTTCATTTTCCTCTTTACATTTCAGGTATGAATTTATGTGAATTCCTTTCTTTTTTTTTTTTTTTTTGTGAATTCCTTTCTAAATGTTGTAGAATTAAGCTTTTGAGAATCTTTATTTTATGACTTGTTTCTTCAATCAGAGGACATATCTTTAGTAGAAATCCGCAAAATCTCAGGGGGTACTGGCTAATCAGTTTCTGTCCTTTTATGAATTTTTTTATCCTGTGATCAGATTTATTACAGAATGCTTTTAATTTAAAATTTAATTTCAATCTTTACATATACATTTTCAAAAATACATTTGATTAAGTTAAATATATCTCTATTATGTTGTTTCTTTATATTATTAAAAAACATTTTCGAGTTGTGGTTAGTGATTTCCATCCTTAATTTGGGAATGTAAGTTTTGGTTTTTTAGTTCAGTAACTCAACATTTTCAACACTTAAAAGTATGGAGACTATTTTTTAAATAGCATTTATTTAACATTAATGTAATGCAGCATAAGAGACAATTATAGATTTAGGGAGATTCCTTTTTAGTTTAGATTGCTGGATGTTGGGAGTTGGCAGTTGTTGAAATGAAATTTATAGTAGATTCTGACAATTACATGAATTGCTTTTACAAGTATTATCTACTAAAAAAAGCATGAGATTTTAAATTTTGCTTGTTTTTAAGTATTTTTTAAAGAATTGAGTATCTGATTTTGAAGTCACACACTAAACACATCTTACTGTTATTTCTGATATTTGTCTTTGTAGACCCTTATAGTTGCCTGGATCAAAGCAAACCTAAATGTGTACATCTCCCGAGAACTTTGGGATGACTTACTGTCAGTACTGTCATCGTTGACCTATTGGGAAGAGTTGGCCACTGAGTGGTCACTGACTATGGAGACATTAACTAAAGTTTTAGCTAGGAATTTATATAGTTTGGATCTCAGTGATTTACCATTGGATAAGCTGAGTGAACAGAAACAAAAAAAGCACAAAGGGAAAGGTAAGAATTGTTCATAGAGATGCTTTATATAAATTTGTTTAAATAACTGAGTCAGGGAAAACCATTCCAGGGAGAGGGTGAGGGTGAAATAAGTAGAATCTTAAATATTTTATTTTTAAGAATTAAACAAAATGAAAATGTATAAAATACGATTCCTTTTTATCATAAGCAGTTTTTTCTTAGAACTGAGAAGGTGGTTTCATGTTACTCTATTTAAAATGTACATAATAATTATTTTAAAAATGGTTTTTGAAAGCACTTACTTAGTTTTAACTAAAAGCAAACATTCCCTAGACATGAAATATGTGTCTGTCTAATGTTAAAAGGGAGTGGGGCAGTAGTGTAATGATAGTATCATTAATATACATTTTTTAAAAACTCAGTTTGTTAGGATTTTGCCCTTTTCCCCCCCCCCCCCCCAAGACAGGGCCTCACTCTGTTGCCTAGGCTAGAGTATAGTAGCACAATCATGGCATACTGCAGCCTCGACCTCCCAGGCTCAAGGGATCCCCCTGCCTCAGCTTCCCAAGTAGCTGGGACTACAGGCATATGCCACCGTGCTCAGCTAAATTTTTTTGTTTGTATTTCTTGTAGTGACATGGTTTCACCATATTATCCAGGCTAGTCTCGAACTCCTGGGCTCAAGCAATTTGCCCACCTCCACCTCCCAAAGTGCTGGGATTACAGGTGTGAGCTACTACACCCAGCCAGTATTTTACATGGTTAAATATTAGTTGTTAGCTAGAGTTTACATCTAAGTCACATTTCATACTTTTGTCCAGGGTATTATGTGCTCAAACTACTTTCTCCTGGACTATATTTTCCAAGTGGCTATTATTGGCAGATTAGAGATTTAGTAACCATCACCGCAGGATGGGTTTTGTTTAGCACATTTCCTGTCTTTTTTTCTTGTCTAAATGTTTCATTTTTATTCCAAAGCAAGTGGGTGGCAGAGAATTTCTAATAGCTTATTGCTAATGGTGTAATTTTAAAATTCTGCATCAGTTTTGGGATATGATTTATACCTAAAGTGAAGCTCATAAAAGCCTTACAGTACATAGCGTTTTATCTTACTACTTTATAATTTATGTAAGCAAACCTAAGACTCTGAGGCAAGGTAGCACACATAACTTGAAGATATTATTGATCAAGTAACAGTATATTGAGATTGAAAATCTACATTTCTAGGAGTTGGACATGAATTTCAGAAAGTTTCAGTTGACAAGTCATTTTCTAGAGGATGGAGTCGTGATCAGCCTGGCCAAGCCCCAATGAGACAGAGGAGTGCAACAACCACTGGTTCTCCAGGAACCGAAAAGGCGAGGAGTATAGTACGGCAAAAAACTGTTGGTATGTACTCTTGAAAATCATGAGAATGGTACAGGGCGCTACATTTATAGTCCCTGGTAACAATTTATATCAATATATCATTTTTCTTACCAGTTGATTGTTGTGAAATGAAAAACTGCCATAGCAAAGCCGTTTTTCCAGAAGTACTCAGAGTCTTGTTATATCCTATGTTATCCCTTTATGCTATTAAGATTTATCAGACATTATGTGGTTTGTTTTACTGTAGAGAGCCGTAATTTTAAAATGTTATTTTACAGAATTGAAGAATTAGAACTGTGATTCACTTTACAGAACTCAAGCATTAACTGGTATAGTTTCATTAAAGGAATTTGCTCACAAATATGGAAAATTAGGGTAGCTAATTTCCAGTGCTACATTTATATAGTAGATTAGTTTCACGAACTTCCAACAAGAATCTCATTTTCTCTGCTGGCAGACAGCTGAGGCCAACATGGAGTCTATTCCTGAGTTTCTTGCTGCCTTTAACAAAAATGGAAGAACGTTCTATAACCTGGGAAACAGCAACAAAGGAACAATGTTGGGAACAATTTCTGGGCATAAAATCGCACAGCATACTGTGGAATTAGCTACCATCTCATTCCTTTTTCTCAGAGGTTTATAAACTTGGCTGAATTATAGTAGAAAGAGAACTGTAATGAGAAACAAGGAGGGCTTTTTCCTAATCTCTTTTCTTACTTCTCTTTGATCACTACATAGCTAGGTAACCCTGGACAGTCTACCAAATGTTTGTAGGCTTTTTTTAAAAGAGAGATCTCACTCTGTTGCCTTTGTTAGATCGTAGCTCACTGCAGCCTTGGACTCCTGGGCTCAAAGTGATCCTACCTCATCCCTCCCCTGAGCCTCTTGAGTAGCTGGGACTATAGGCGCATGCCACCATGCCAGGCTAACTTTATTTTTCTTAGAGACAGGGTCTTGCTATGTTGCCCAGGCTGGTCTTCAGTTCCTGGCCTTAAGTAGTCCCCTCACTTTGGTGTCCCAGAGTGCTGAGATTACAGGTGCGAGCCATGGCACCCAGCCTTTTCTAGGCTTTTTAAGTACTTCAGCTGTGTAGTGGGAATGATAATACTGCTCATTCCTGAAACAAAATTGCCTGAAGTTATTCCAGGGTTTACAATCAGTGCTTCTATGGAAAGAGAATTTTCCATGGGAATGTATCTGTATTTAATGGTAATCAGTGAAAAACACTTAATTTTAGAGAAATTTAAAGTCATTATTGTAAGGATACATCTTGTATAAAAAATTAGGTTCTAAAGTGTTAAGAATTATGGTTTGAAAGGAAGAAACAACTAGAAAGAAAATAAGAGAGTAAAGATTTTAAAAATTAAAATACATGGTTAATGTAAAATCCTTTAAAAGGATAACATATTCAGAATTGTCTTATGCTTTTAAAATAAGCATAGAATTACATTGATTGTATGTTCCAAGCTAGAATAATAAGACAATACATAAGGAAAAAGTTATTGTAGTATGAAAATGAATATAATAGGAATTTTACTATAAAATTACTTTTTGGAATCCTAAGGAAAATGATTATATTTGAAATGCCTTCCTTCATTTTATATTAATGTCACAATTATAGAAAATATTTGTGTATTAAGAAGAAATTGTTGGCTGGGTGCGGTGGCTCACGCCTGTAATCCCAGCACTTTGGGAGGCTGAGGCATGCGGATCATGAGGTCAGGAGTTCAAGACCAGCCTGACCAACATGCTGAAACCCCGTCTCTACTAAAAATACAAAAAAAATTAGCCGAGCATGGTGGCATGTGCCTGTAAGCCCAGCTACTCGGGAGGCTGAGGCAGGAGAATCGCTTGAACCCGGGAGGCAAAGGTTGCAGTGAGCAGACATTGAGCCACTGCACTCTAGCCTCAGGCAACAGAGGGAGACTCTATCTCAAAAAAAAAGAAGAAATTGTTCTTTTAAGTGTAAATTTTTATTTTATTTAAATCTCATCTTTTTAAAAAAGTACATTTTTTTTTCTGATTATAGAAGTAATTTATGCTTAGTGTGGAAAGTAACATTTAGGGAAGCATAAAGACCCATTAGCTGTCTAATGAGAAGTAATCATTGTTAACATGTTGGCATATATCTTTGTAGTCTTTTACATAGCATTTAATGAGTAAAATATTCATGCTGACTTCATAGCTCATGGTGATTACTTTCTAGTTGTACTGATGTCAAAACAGCCTTGTCTGAACTGAACAAGCCTATGAAACAAAGTTAAAGCCTTAAAAATTTGTTGAGAAAGGTACCTGCATAAAGTTCAAAAAAGGGGCAGCAGATTAAATTAGGATGTTCTTTGGGCATATTTTTAAAAATTTTTAACATTAGTGTTTTTTTTTTCTTTCTGAGACAGAGTCACCTAAGCTAGAGTGCAGAGGTGCAATCTTAGCTCACTGCAGTCTGCCTCCTGGGTTCAAGTGATTCTCCTGACTCAGCCTTCAGTAGCTGGTATTACAGGCACACACCACCACACCCAGCTGATTTTATATTTTTAGTAGGGATGAGATTTAACTATGTTGGCCAGGCTGGTCTTGAACTTCTGACCTCAAGTGATCCACCCGCCTCAGCCTCCCAAAGTGCTGGGTTTAACATTAATTTTTCCAGCCTGGGCAACATGGCAAAACTCTATCTCTACCAAAAAAATACAAAAAAGTTAGCCGGGTGTGCTAGCACATGCCTGTAGTGCCAGCTACTTGGTGGACTGAGGTAGGAAGATCTCTCGAGCCCAGGAGGTTGAGGTGGCAGTGAGCTGAGATCACACCACTGCACTCCAGCCTGGATGACAAAGTGAGACCCTGTTTCCAAAACAAAAAAAAAATCCATTTTATTTATTTATTTATTTATTTATTTATTTATTTATTGGGATGGAGTCTCGCTCTGTTGCCCAGGCTGGCGTGATCTCAGCTCACTGCAACCTCTGCTTCTGGGTTCAAGCGATTCTCCTGCCACAACCTCCCAAGTAGCTGGGACTACAGGCATGTGCCACCATGCCTGGCTAATTTTTGTATTTTCAGTGGAGACAGAGTTTCACCATGTTGGCCAGGCTGGTCTCAAACTCCTGACTTTAGGTGATCCACCCACCTCGGCCTCCCAAAGTGCTGGGATTACAGATGTGAGCCTCTGTGCCCAGCCTTTATGTTCTTCATGAATGTACATGGTTAAAAATTTAGACTGTGATTAAGTGTATACATTGTAGTAAGTCTCCCTCATCAGTATTCCCCACCCTCCCATTTCACCTCACTAGAGGCAACCACTAGTACCAGTTTCTTGAGCATCCTAAAGATACTTTATGTCTATACAGGCTTATAGCATAACATATACAATCTTGTGAATCATGGCTTTACACATGTGAATGAAAAACAATTCCTTTAAGTACTTACTATAAAATTGCTGTTCTATGCATTAAGGATATAGTTCTGAACAAAGCAAGTAAATTCCACCGGGGCTAACAATTCTAGTGTTGGGGAAGAAATATAATAAGCAAATAAACCAGTAAACATGTCATGAGGTAGGAAAGTTATGAAGAAAAGTCAATCAGGATAAAGGAATAGAAAGTGTTGGAGCTAAGGACATAGGACTGTTTTAAGTAGGGAGGTCAGGGAAAGCTTATTCTATCCTATAAGAACAAAGACCTGAATTGGGAAAGTGCATTCCAGGCAGAAGGAAAAGTGAAAGTCCCAGAGCTAGGAATGTGCTCTAGGGCTTTTGAGTGTTTGAGGAGGAGTAAGGAAAGAAGAGAGTGTTAGGAGATGAAGTCAAGCTATAATGATATATCTTAAAGATTATTATATATCAGAAAAATGTTGGCCAGGCACGGTGGCTCACACCTGTAATCCCAGCATTTTGGGAGGCCGAGGCAGGAGGATCAGTTGAGGCCAGGGGTTTGAGACCAGCCTGGACAACATGGTAAAACCCCATCTCTACTAAAAATACAAAAATTAGCTGATCGTGCTAGTACACGCCTGTAGTCTCTAGACCCTGCTACTCAGGAGGCTGAGGCAAGAGAATTGCTTGAACCAGGAGGCGGAGGTTGCAGTAAGCCAATATTGTACCACTGCACTCTGCAGAGCGAGACTCTTGTCTCAAAAAAAAAAAAAAAAGTTGAACTTCCTATATCATAATTACATGGAAGTACTATAATTTAACCTATCTCCTGAAGATGACTATACATTTTGTAATTTTGTGCTATTAAAAATGGTGCAGAATAGGCTGGGCACAGTGGCTTATTCCTGTAATCCCAGCACTTTGGGAGGCCGAGGCAGGAGGATCACCTGAGGTCAGGTGTTCAAGACTATCATGGCTAATACGGTGAAATCCCATTTCTACTAAAAATACAAAAAATTAGCCAGCGTGGTAGCGTGCGCCTGTAATCCCAGCTACTCGGGAGGCTGAGGCAGGAGAATTGCTTGAACCCGGGAGGCAGAGGTTGCAGTGGGCCGAGATCGCACCATTGCACTGCAGCTTGGGCAACAAGAGCAGACCTTATCTCAAAAAAAAAAAAAAAAAAAAAGTATAGAATATACTTATGTATTCTTCTATATTTTGTGCATATATGCAAGTATATCTATAGGTTAAGTCTGTAGGGTTTGAAATTAATTTGCTCTCTAAAGAGAGGAACCTTTGTAGCCTTAATAGATTTAAGCAAGGATCATTAGTAGATATCAAAAACATTAATAAGTAAAGGATTGCTTGGGAAGAGGATATTCACTTGTTGCCAAGGACTATCTTACAGATTATTTATATTTGCAAAGGATAAATATACCTTTACAATGGAGGGATCTGGAATCAAGCCATTATACCTAACTTCTAGTTTATAGTATATATAGGAGATAGAAGAACAAATTAAATGACTCCAAGAGAAAATAATTGAACAAAATTAGAATGTAGTACATTTTATGAGACAACTGGTCTAGCCTCTTCAAAAGCACAGTATCGTTTTTAAAAAGTTGAGGTGGGATCTGTTTTAGGCTCAAGAGAC